AAAAACAATATCATTACAGATTGTGATGGAGACACGAAAGAGATCCTAAAAAAAAACAAAATACTTGAGCACCTTCACGATGCACTTGCCCCGACGAAGAATCGATTCAAAATATGTTATTATTTATGAAAATTATTAGCTTGTACAATTTGTTTTTAAAGGTATTTAAGTAACTATATGGAAAACAAGCCAATGGTTACGTCATCAAGGATTTCTTCTTTAATAATAATAAAAAAAAACTTTGTGCTTATCTTTAATATTTTTCAACCGGCTTTATAACAACTGATGAATACAACCTTGTATTCAGTTCTCAAGCTTTTTGACCAAATGACAATTTTTACATCAATATTGGTTAATATATTATAAAAAAAAAAACCTAAAAATATTGAAAGGTTAAAATCTCAATACATTTCTGAATACTATTCAAAATATTTTGAAAATCATACCATGTATATAAAATGATAAATTAAACAATTGGTGAAAGTTATAAGTATTATAAGTATTTAGATACAGCTATTAGTTTTCGGGTTACAAACTAAAATAGATTTTGTCAAAAACTTGTATCGTGAGAAAATTTCTGTTTTTCATACATTTTTCTCTGTTTTTCTAAATTATTTAAAAAAGTTGTGAATATTTTCAATTTTTATCTCTTAAAATTACAATCTATAGATTCAATTTTGTAAAAAAAATTTTAAATTGTCTAAAGTAGTGAAATATGTATACTCTGTACAGAATAAAATAATTAAAAAATATTATCAATGTAATATAATATATTAATTTTGCTTCGTTCAGAATCTAAAAGCTCTGGGAAACATCTATCGTCATAACTACGCCACTGTAGTGAAATGTTCGTATAATTACCTACTTATACATAACATAATTACACTATTAAAATCTAATTTCCATAACGACTTACATAACAAAGATTTTTTAATTACTTACAGTCGTATAGATTATTATCTCTTAATTTACCAAGCTGTATTCATCAGTCAGTCATGACCTTGTTRCCGTGGTTATCATCAACTAACGTTATTTATTACACACTTTTCTTAAGGTCGCTTTCACGTCTGTTTGTCTGTTTGTCTGTAATCAAATTTTGCGCACTCGATTTGAGGCACTTTTTGACG